AAATTCAAAAATTGTCAGATAGTCCGCACCACCGGATAGTCTGCGGACTATACGTCCGAAATTACGTTTTTTTAATACGGCAATATCCCCATGCTTTTTAAACACATCCTTTGCGCCAACTTCTCACCGCTTTCTCGTCCACTTCAAAATAACGGGCTAAATTCCTAGTATACCGTGCAGCCTTGGCGCGACTTTGAAAATTATCGCCAACACCAAAAATGATCCAAAGAACGTCTATATATATACTATGCACTATACACTATGTGTGTATATACATAGTATATATACTATATGTGTAGTATATACTATGTTAAACTATATATTATTTTAAATGACCCGTTAACTACTCATCGTATATGTCCCGTTTTTACTGCTCATCATAAAGTCGCCAAAAGTAGCCAAATCCCGTGTGCACCGAATACTAGGATTAAACCAATAACGGCCCGCTACTCTATTTCCATCTTTTTCCTGGCGATGTTTCATCAACGTTATCGAAGATGAAATACAAAATACTGTGCAACGTGCTATACTCGTCATAAGTGGTAATGAAATGTGACCTTCGACCCCACTCACTCGGTGTTGCCAAACCACGCTATAGGTAAACGAATCACGCTTTTTTTTTTTTTTTTTCATACTCCAGGTACTTGCTACTAATGGCTTCTAAAACATCGAGTTGACGCATCAACTACTTTTCCCCCTCCTGGCAGTTGCAGTTGTATTAAAGCAGTGCGAAGGATACTGGGATACAAGACTCTGGTTGCGCTAAGTGAGTGTTCATACAAGACTTCTTTGGCTCATATCCCGGCATCGCTTGATGCGCCAGCCTGGATTTTGGGAGCTCTACTTGCTACTACTCATTCGTTCTGCACTATGCTCTATGGTTTACTATCGCTACGATGGCATACAAATGTTTTCCTTGCCAATCTCGATGCTTTTTTATATTTGATCATCGGCAGTTCACGACAGCGTGTTTTTTAAATTTCAATGATTTTAACCGTGAACAACCAGCGTATTATCCGCACTGGTGGATAGTTCTAGCTTCAAAAATTCGCATTTTAAACACAGATAGTCCGCAGACTATACGCGCGAAATTACGGTACTTTCCCTATTTGCCCTTCATAAATATTCCTTAATAATTTACCATTTGCATTCTGGTGAGAATGCAAGTCAGTTTTAGATAAAGGCTTATATCCAGGACACAACTCGGCTGATCTTTGGAATACGGTAACTGGTAGTTTGGCGACATTTTGGAGGCGATAAAGGTTACTACCTAGGACTTTGGTAATAATGCGAGAAGTACTCAGTTCCGATTACGCATTATTTTGTGTGAGGGAAACGAGAGATCATGAGATATGTCATGTGACATTAATGGACGAATTACAGTTCTTTAATCGGAAAAGGGGGGGAATTTGGAAAACTGTAGTACTATATTATTTTGTATTAAGCTTCATTGTGTGTTGTGTGAAATAGGGGAAGTGTGTGTGCCACGTAATGAAGATTCTGAAGATTAGGTAAGTTAGTATTTTTGATCATTTGAGGATATTATTTTTATGCATTGTTTCTAAATGTAAGGAGTAAATAAATTAATATGATGTTATTGGAAAATTGTTATTAGCAATGATTTAGTTTAAAGTAATTAGGATTGTAATCTAATTTTTATTAATTTAATGTATGTGCTTATTTATATTTTAAGTAGGGTTTTTAATTTAATTATATTTTAATTTAATGATCGTGATTTTCTGAGTTATATGTTTGTAGTATTTTGGAAGACGTTTGAGTAGAATACGTGGAGTATTTTCATGCATTTTCGTGAAATTTTTCTAATTTATGAGAAAAAAGCAGTGTACATGGATATAGTGAAGAGTGTGCACAATGCCATTTTTGTGCAATTCTGGGATTTTTTTTAAGTAAAAATAAGTCGACGTGTACATGGTTTAGTGATATTTTAATTAAATGATAATTATTTTGTGAATTTTATGTTTGTAGGAATTTGGTATACATTTCAGTTGAAGTAAACGTGTATGGAAATAATTTAAATATTTGACACTAAGTATTTGTAACCATTTGTAATGTTTGCAGTATGAATTCGTTGGTGAGGTTTATAATATAATAGATAATTTAGAGGTAAAAGTTTTTGGATATTTTATTTATTTTATACGTGGAAATGTTCATCCTTGGAAAGGGTATATACTTTTTCGCGATCAGGCAATTTCATATATGTGCTTTTTACCGAGTTTAAAGATTCACAGAATTTTTTTGCATTTTCGTGCAAATTTTTGTAATTTATGAGAAAATAGCAGTGTAGATGGATAAAGTTAAGAGTGTGTGCAATGCCATTTTTGTACAATTCTGTGATGTTTAAGTAAAAATAAATCGACGTGTAAATGGTTTATGTGTATGTGCTATTCTGAAAAATGCGCAAGGAGTTTGCGATTGTGCACTTTTTCCCAATTTTGCAGTTAATATTTGTCATGATTAAGCAGTTCTGTTACATAAAATTTCTAGCATAAGTGTAATTCGCCTAGCAGATTGTTGGAAAAAGTGTTCAGTAAATAAAAAGAAAAGAAACATGTCTTTACTTCGTTAAGACAAAATGGCGGCGAAAAAAAAAATAGAGGGTTGCTGTAGCAGATTTGGTCGCCAAATTTTCGCCAAAAAATCACCAAGTTACCATAATCCAAAGATCAACCCACAACTCAAATTTATTAAATGAGAATTTTCTACACTACAAAACTATATACAGTTCACAAAAGTGATGGGACACTTGTGCTTTACAAAAAGAAACTGTAATAAAATAAATTAAAAAAACATGTAAAAATTTTTTGTGGGTGTGTTTCATACTTAAATTTAGTAAAAATTATTACATAACACACATTTTCTCAAAATATTAAAATAGAAATTTAATAAAAATACAATTGTTTGGAACGGAGCAAAGAATGGCTCATATAAGTGATGGGACACCATTAGACACTACTACGTACTACAGTAAAAATATTTTTTGGGGTTTTATTTTTACTCAAAAGCAATTGGCAATAATTTATAAAATCATCTGCAGTCTTTCTCTCCAGTTCGTTTTGGAATTTTTGCATTTTTTAGCTCTGTGCAGCCACGAATGCTAAACGAAAAGAAACTTTACCTGAAATTCGAAAATTAGTTATTAATTTGCATATTGAACGTGGAAAATCTATTAGACAAACTGCTGAAACAGTTAACATGAATCATTCAACAGTTTTCAATATCATTAAACGATATAAAAAGAATCATATCATTCAGGATAAAAGAAGACCTGGCCGACCATCAAAGCTATCCAATGGAATAAAGCGAATTATTGTTCAAAATATTAAAACAATTCCAAGAATGAGTGCTCCTAAAGTTGCTGCTGATTTACAAGCATTATATGGAGTAATTGTTAATACTTAGACTATTAGAAGAGTAATTCGATCTACTAGATATCACGGTAGAGCAGCCTGGAAAAAATTCTTCATAAGTGAAAAGAATAGAAAACTCGGACTGGCTTTCGCAAAATCCAACATAAATAAGAACTCTGATTACTGGAATGAAGTTATATTTGCTGATGAGAGTAAATTTAATATATTTGGTTCTGATGGTAGAATCTTGGTATAGAGAAAACCCAGGAAAGAATTTCGCAAACAGAACTTGGTGCTAACAGTAAAACATGGTGGAGGAGGAGTTATGGTATGGGGGTGTATGTTGTCCGCTGGAGTTGGTAATCTTGTTTTTATTGACAGTATAATGGATCAGTACAAGTATATTGACATTTTAAATCAAAATTTGAAATCTTCAGCATGAAAATTGATCCTTCATAATGATTTTAAATTCTACCAGGACAATGATCCCAAGCACTCTGCTTTGAACGTTAAGACTCTGGCTGCTGTATAACTGTCCTGAAATAATAAAAACACCACCACCACAATCTCCAGACTTAAATCCCATAGAGAATATTTGGCAAGAATTGGAATCAAGAATTCGCAAACACACCATTTTTTCAAAACAACAATTAAAATCATTGCTTCAAGAAGAATAGGGTAAAATCACTCCAGAAATCGCAAAAAAAATTAGTCGAATCCATCCCAAGAAGATTAAATGACGTTTTAAAAGTAAAAGGAAATCCAACAAAATATTAAAATATTTTAAGAAGTAAAATTTTTGGATAAATATTTGATGGAAAAGTAAGTGTCCCATCACTTATGTGAGCCATTTTTTGCTCCATTCTAAACAATTGTATTTTTATTAAATTACTATTTTAATATTTTGAGAAAATGTATGTTATGTAATAATTGTTACTAAATTTAAGTATGAAACACACACACACAAAATTTTTACACGTTTTTTAAATTTATTTTACTACAGTTTCCTTTCGTAAAGCACAAGTGTCCCATCACTTTTGTGAGACACTGTATTTGCAGCATTAAAAAATGGTACCTTACTAATTACCTATTTTAAATTTTTGTGAAGAGAGTGATTTTACAATATATTTGCTTAGAACATGTGTTTTGAAGTTCTGCACTATCATCAGATTCATGATTCAGATGAGATGGACATGGAAATGGTATTCTTTCTTGCATTGTTCTAACATGGCTGATTCGAAATTATTTAAACAATTTTACTTCTTTATAAAGCTTCTACTTTTTGTAACCTGATAATAATCACTGATTGAGAAAAAAAAAAAAAAAAAATCCCCTGAATAAGTCATAATTATCTAATTATAATCACTGACAGATTTATTATCAAACGAAAAAGAGGAATAAAGAAGAATTTTGATATTCTACAGTAAAATATAAATGTACATATAAATTTATCAATATGTCATACTACACTAGTATACTATAGTAATTATTACATATATTTTTAGAAAAGAAATACTGAGCGTAGAACAGCGATATTTAAAGCTTCTATTACATTCTACTTTATGATCAAAAAACAAATATTATATTGCTTTGAAAAACTCATATTTATTTAACAAAAAATAATAATCTCACTTTTCAAATTCCTTCTTAAATTTCACGGAAAATTTTCGTTATTCCAACATATCGTCGATAATGAACATTTACACCTGCAACCAATATTCTATGTTACAACTATTGCCAGATTCATCTACCGATTTTAAAATATGCAGCCATTTTTTAATGATTTTTGAATACATCCGAGTCTACATAGGTACAAGCTTCTTTTTACTCCGTTTATTATAAAAGTTTATTTTAGAAGTTTAATCCGTACAGAGGCAAGGACGCTTTTGCTTTAATACTGAAGAGCAGATTACAGGGTTCAGGGAGGGTGTAGAAGGAAGAATCAAAATTGCGATAACTGAAAAGCAGTGAAAATGTACATGAGAGTGCATAACAGTGAAATCTGAGAGAAACACGGAGAATTATTGGAACAATATCTGTGAGAATGATGGAACGTCTTTATGGTAAAAGAGTGGTAGTAACCACATTCTATATGTGTTTTAGCAATAGCCGGATACACGTATTTTTCCATGGGAAAGGGTGTATTCTTCTGAATTAACCCAGTCAAATTAAACGAAAAAAAAAAAAAAAAAAAAAAGGGTAACTGGTTTAAAAATCCTAGAGTTTTGAAAATCGTCTGAAACGCTTCAAACTTGGGCTGATGTGTGTAAATAGTCCCTGAAGGGGTGAGCTCGAGGAGGGGAGGGGCTCAAAGTTCTACCGGAAAATACTACTTCCACGAAATAAAAGCTGGCAAAATTTCCCACAAAAATGGTCTTATGCAGTTTTGTCCTACGATGTACGTCATCAAATTAAGATACATCACTGCAGAAGTTGTAAGTAAAGCCTTTTCTGAGCACTAGATTTGCAGATTTGGCCTACCTTATAAAATTATTACGAATCAAGTGTTAACTTCCTTTTGTAGTTAAATTAATCACTCATAAAATGATTGTAAGAGACAAACAAACATTTATTTAAAGATAAATCTTAATAACCTACACGTAACGTATTCGTAAACGTACATAACATAACAAACGTACTTACTGCATCGTACAATTAAACATTTCAAGCGCACATAATCTGAATATGACTTACTTTTTTCTGGTCATTAACTACTAAAGAGTTTTCGCCAGTAGATCTTATTAAAGTGCACTAGGCAAAGATATTTTCAAATAAATGGTACTAGGGAAGTACCAACACCCGTGGGCGAAGAAAATTCAGCTGCGTGAGCAGGCATATCTTAATACTTATGAAAGTAGGCGTTCATCATAAAAATTGCGCAGTGATAAGCAATGGCATTAAATTGAAGCATGCAGATAGGTGCAGTGAGTTGTATGGCAAATGCAGATGGTGAGTGCAATATAGCTAGTAAGAGTGCAGGATAAGCAATAGTGAGACATCATGAAAATGAGGCAAAGACAGTTTGAAGCTGTGAATGGCATAAGAGTTCAAAGTCCTTCAGAAGTATGCAGTAGCTAGATAGGCCGTAAAAAGTTCAAAAGTTCGTAGAATCATACGATAAGGTAAACATTCATACAAAATAATTTTAAAAAATGAAATAGTAACATAAAAATCTTAAATACAAAAAGCACAAATAATAGGATGGAGTCCAATTTCAGAGTTCAAGTAAATTTTAAAATTAAAATTTACAAGTTACCACCATGACGAATTGTGATGAATTGTCCTTGGGCGTTTGACAGTGTATTCATGGTTGGATCATAATCAACATTTGTTTAATTGCGTTATACTGACTATGCTTCATCTACTCGAAGAAGTTGTGACCTGTCAAGAGTATAAAGTTTTGCACAGATGGTAACATAACGATCAAGGTCGTTATGAATTATAGAGTTTCTCACGTACCAAGGTGCATTCGCAATGCTACGTAGAATTTAATTTTGAAGTATATCCAGGTTTTTGCGCTCAGTTTTATTGGCGATTGCCTAGGCCGGCACGCATATTCACAAAGCCTACAGACAATTTCGCTACGGGCTGCTCTCATTGGAGGAAACATCTGCTTGGCGGTCATATTTGGAATGGCGAGTTATCGCCCTGTAGGCGTGGTAATTAACGCCAAACAAACGGAAACAGCGTTTATTTCATTCAATATTTTTTAGTTTATAAATGAAGCTTAGAGGAATTGTGTGGAATATATCTTAAATAACCTAGTGATCTATTAATAGTTATTTGTATTTGAATTTAAACTTTAAAAGTACGTAATTGTTTTACAAGAAAAGGTGTTTATATCGAGACAGCATGCACTTTTTCGTTACTTAGGAAGAGTCTGTTGTGTAAATTTTTATAGCGCATTAATTTATACAAATAAAGGAATATTAAAAAAATTACCAAATGAAAACATTC